GGCTATGGCAGTGCCTGGTGTCCTAACCAGGCCCATTAATATCCCGGAAAAGAAAAGAGGTCCTGTCTTCTGTGTTTCTCTTGCAGGATGTGAAAACCTTTCTAAGAAGCTCCCTAGCAATTTCCCTTCACTTCTTATTGGCAGTAACAGGGTCACATACCCATTCCAGAACCAGTTATCAGCAGGGAGAGTGAGAATATCCCCGGAGCTGAGAGTGAGTTCAACTTCTCCTGAGCATATGGCTATGTGGGGAGGGATGGACAGCAAATAAACCAGGACTTTGTGGGGTAAACAGGGATAGACACAGGGCCTGATATACTTACCAGGTTGAAATATAACATTAAATAACATTACATAGTTTGAGGCTATATCTTCTTAGGGAACTGGCAATGCCCCATTAATCTAGATTATTCTTGGTAGCCACTCACTGCGGTGAGAGGGAAACAAGTGCAGAACTCAGTTCTCCTGCAATCTTCATGGTTAACTGCATTTGCTTTAGACTCCTAAATTCTTCCAACATCATGTAGCACTTAAATATATACTTTTGTAAATGTCTAATTAGGCATATGTATATAGTTGTGCTTGCTGCATTGTGCAACTCTGGGGAAGCTCTGTTTCTTTTCTTTTTTTTTTTTTTGAGATGGAGTTTTGCTCTTTGTTACCCAGGCTGGAGTGCAATGGCGTGATCTCAGCTCACCGCAACCTCCGCCTCCTGGGTTCAGGCAATTCTCCTCCCTCAGCCTCCTGAGTAGCTGGGATTACAGGCACGCACCACCATGCCCAGCTGATTTTTTGTATTTTTAGTAGAGACGGGGTTTCACCATGTTGACCAGGATAGTCTCGATCTCTTGACCTCGTGATCCACCCGCCTCGGCCTCCCAAAGTGCTGGGATTACAGGCCGGGAAGCTGTTTCTATAGGAATGGAGTATAAAGCAATCTGGCCAAAGTTGTGCCAGGGAGCGGGGAACTCTGATGGTGTCTGGACACAATTATAGTGTTGAACACAGCCAATGAGATAAAAATCTCCTTTAAAGCACTTTTGTGTTTTTAAAAACCATCCTGAAATCTGCTTTATTGAAGATTTTTTTAAAAGTATTTCTCCATGTTTTATTTCTCTAGGAAAAGCCGCTTGAAGAAAATGCTTCCCCGTCATGAAAAATGACCATTGATAAGATGCAAGGGAAATTGGTTATGAAATGCAGACTTCATATAACAAATTTAGTAAATACTTGTTCTACCTTATTTTTACTGGAAATTAGGATGGTAGGCTTGGGCAGAAGAGAAGGGGCTGGTAGGTTAAGACATTTTAATATTGTAGGGGCAAAATCATCTTTTATTCATCTTTATAATAACTCCTACAAGTCCTAGAGCAATGCCTTAGGTGTCTGCGGCGTGAACACACAATAAGGGAGTAATAGAGCAAGGGGGTGGAGTTTTCTCTTATTTTCAGTGTGGATAATGAAATGAGAGCCAGTTCAGGACGATAAGGCTCATCTTTCTAATGTTCCTTGGTTTGAGTATTCCTGAGGCTGCTTCTTCCTTCCTTCTGCCTCCTCTCTTCTTTCTTCTCTCACAAACCTCATGCTATCAACTGTATGCTATGCAGGTGCTCCGTGAGAGTTATGTTGAATGCTCTGCAAAGACAGGGACATCACAGCATTTAGTGTGATGTTCCTTACTGTGACACTTTAAAATGTTGGTAACTGACTATGTAAACTCGGAGGATCCTTTTCTTCTTAACTCCAGGGGAGCTTGTGAACTTGGAGAAAGTTGGGCTACAATTCTGAAAGTGTTTGGCTTTTCTAGAGGAAAAGAGGTAGAGACTAGCACAGAGCCTCTGCCCTAAATAATCTCATTGTCTAGCTGGGGAGAAAAAGCCAAGATCTGTAAAGCAGCACTGAATAATATGTCTTTATAAAACTGGCCTCTAAAGTGTGTGGTTCAAACAATAAGTGTTGTCAGAATGCAAAGATTAAGGAGCCCAATGAGCACAGACTCTATCAGGGTTCTGGTGTCCACAGGTGAGACTTGAGAGGGACTTTTTAGGATAGTGAGTGCTCTAGGAATGAAGTCCATTGTCCATGTTTCTGTGGGACTTGGATGCTGTGGAGAGAAGTCAGGTTCACTAAAGCGCAGCTACACTCAGTTGTCACCCTACGTGCCCAGATGCCTAGACGTGAAGAAGCAGGGGATGCATCTAGACTAGAGTTTCTTCCTAGAGAAGGAGATGCCGCCAACTGGCAAGGGGACAGATCTCAGAGAAGTGTTGTGTATGCAGGAACCTCAACCTGGGGCCGGAGCTGTTTGCACACGGACTGGGTGGGAATCCCTTTGCTGGCGCAGGCTGGCTTCTATTTTCCCTCCTCAAGGAGGGGACTGGTTTCATGGTTTACCAACAAGAGTGGTGCTTTTGTGCTATTCATAAGCCAGTCTCCTCTTGCCTTCTGTGCACAAATGATTGGTGGTTTCTTAATCTTGTATCTTTGCGTGGTTACAAACAACCCACTCTCATTAACATTTTCTTTCTACTATCAGTCCTACTTTATCCGTCACCTACTCACACACAATATTGTGTCAGTATGCATTAATTCAACACTCCATATTTGTGTCAGCATATGGCTAAAACACTGAGTAAATGTTTCGCTATAAAAAGCATTATGAGGCTCTGTGGGTAAGCAGCCTCTGACAAATAAGGATTTTCCAGCTGCCACTACTGCAGCAAGGGTGCACAAAGGAGAGCATGGGTTTTTTTAACCAGATGTGCTAGGAGGCTGAGGTTTTCCCACTGGCTCTTACCATCTGGCAAGATGTTGTTTCTTCTCAACCCTTGGAGGGCTGAAGCCTTTTGGCAAGTGTGTTAATTTGGGTCCTCCAAGAAGCAGATGCTAGAAAGAGATTCGTTGTACAAAAGGTTTTCTTTCCTTTGAGAGAATGTGGGAAGTAAGCCTGCGGATGTCAGGGCAACTGTCAGATTTTGATGCAGGCCCAATCCTGTGAAGAGAAGAAAGGAAGGAAAGCTGGGTAGGAAATCTTCAGGCTGTGGTGTCATTCTAAGAAAAGTTTGGCAAGATTAACAATGGGCCCTTCAGCCATGGTTGCCCTTCAGAGGCATCCCCATCTCCCTGCCTTAGTATCCCTGCTGTGTTCAGTCACTGGCTAGGAGCCTGACCTCGGCGTGAAAGTCACTCAGTGTGGATTTCAGAGCACAGAAGCTGAGACCATTGGTCAATTCCCTCCTCAGAGTGGGAGATCTACCTAAGAGACACATTTTCATGAATATTACATCTGCTCACCTCTGGCAGCAAGCAGCTTCCTCCGTTCACTTCAGTGTGCTTCTTCTCTAAGGATGAGGCTAGAGCTGGTGCAGGGGGACAGGCAAGGACATTTAGGTTTGGATGCCTTGTGTGAATTTAACTACACTGGGCACTAAGGCAGTCACTATTATGCCCAAGACTTGCTTTCTCTGCTTGGGAAGTAATAGTGAACACTTTGTGTTTATTTCTTGTTATTTCATTGAAAGCATTTTGTAAAAAAAAAAAAAAAAAAATGGGTCACCCACTGGGAATTTCAAATGACATTAATATGGGTTCTTTCCATTTAGGCCCCATGCAGATAGTATCTTGTACTTTGCTTCTTTGTAGAAGTAGAAAGATCAGTAATGGTGTCACTCATGGTACTTGCTGAATAACTTTTAGGAACTGAATCCTTTCGAGGCAAAGTGTGTTGAAAAAATGATGTTCTTCTGCAAGCACCCTAAAACCACTTTGAGTGTACATGACCTGTCTTCCCTTCTTGCTCCTGACTAGTTTTATTGTCGCCATTCAGCACTGAGCATGGAAGGTTGCCTACTGTGCTGTGGTAGAGCAAGCACCCAGTGAGGGTTACATGTCTGTCACTTATTTCCCTTGGCCCCGGAGATTAGATTACAAATTTTCTAACTATTCTAGAAGAGTCAGTCAAACACGGGAGCAGGAATAATAAAATAAAAATATTCTTGAAAGGAATCTGTTTGCATTCTCATCTCTCACTCTGATTAGTTCTCACATTGTTGCCAAAGTGATAGTTCTTACAAGAAGTGATTGTTTTACTCTGCGCCTAAAACATTTCAATAGTTCTACTTTACCACTGAGTCAAAAATCAAAACCTCTCAGCATGACGGAGGGATCCTCTTTCTGACCTGGCCCTGCCTGTGGTCTAGGTCTAGATTCTCTGTCTCTTTCTCTATATTTATTCTCTCTTTAAACCACAAGTGACTTTCTAAATGTACCAGATTTCTTATGTCTTTCAGCCTTTATGCATTGTGTTAGTAAGGTTGTCACTAGTGATTTCTTACACAGTACCCCAACGTAGCAGTGATTTTAGAAGTTACTTTTTATTCACATACCAGTCCAATGCAGGGATTGCTTGTTGGTGGATTATTTTCCTCCACTTAGGAACCCAGGCTTTTCAGTCCTTTGGCACCATCTATATTTACAACCTTTGATTCCTTCTCACCCAGCTGATAGATGGGAAGAGAAGAAAACTCACCTATATCCTCCATGCTGTGGCCTGGAAGTGACACACTCCACTTTTGCTAATATTCCATTGGTGAGAACCAGAGTGGAATATTAGCAAAAAAAAATTGTGCTGATCTGTGTACCCGAAGCACTCCCAGGGGAATTCCATTTCCTAACTGATTAGAGGACTCAGTGTCTATCACAGAGCAAAGAAGTATTTGGATGGATAGGAGGAGTGAGGTATCTTTTCTCTCCAAAATTGGTAGGTCCATTAGGAAGAAAAAAATGGGAAGATACGCTGAGTCTTCAAGCAATGGTACTCACTATAAATGTTTTAACACTATATTGTGTTGAACTGATATCCATGCAAGAGTGAACACTTAACCAGGAAATAACCTAACACATTCTCCTGCCACTTTTGAAGGTTCCAAATTATATAAGTTTCCAATAGTGACATTTTACTTTGCCTTCCTCCAGTACCATTATTTATTCTTTTTTTTTAGGCCTCATAATGGGACTAATTTTACGATATGCTACAGCACCAACTGATGTTGAAAGTGGAACTGTCTATGACTGTGTAAAACTAACCTTCAGTCCATCAACTCTGCTGGTTAATATCACTGACCAAGTTTATGAATATAAATACAAAAGAGAAATAAGTCAGCACAACATCAATCCTCATCAAGGCAATCCTATACTTGAAAAGGTAAGGATCCTGTATGGTCGTATATTTTTGTCTTACAGTATAAATAATTGCATTTGAGCCTTTCTACTTTAGATATAGTGCATTCACACACACATATGTGCCTTTTTTAACATCACACGATTGAAGATGTTCATTGACTAAGGAGTCAAACCCTGAGTTATACTCTTATTACAAGTGATTTCTTACACAGTACCCCAACGTAGCAGTGACTTTAGAAGTTACTTTTTATTCACATACCAGTCCAATGCAGGGGTTGTCTGTATTTTTTTTTTCCTAGAGGTTGGGAAAGAAAGATTTCCTTTGTTCTTTTTCTACAAACCACAGTTATATTTGGTTAAAGGAAAAGAACATTTAACAACTCTGCCTGTCCTGATGCTTGATTCAAGTTTTCACACATGTGTTTGCGTCATCGTTGTATATATTGCCAGCTGAATGTGCAGTTCAAATCTTTCTTAAGCCAAAGGGAAAATGGAGTGGAATAAAATGTTTTCACTTGCAATCCTTGACATAGGATGACTGGCTTCTGCTACCAATGCAAAACACTGGCCACTTGGCTATTTATAAATACACTGACATGCAGTCAGTCTCAAGAAATCGTGACTCTATCAGTTTGGTTAAGGAATCTTAGGTAGAAAAAAACACTGTGAAATGACTCATCCTTTAAAAATAGTTTCATGATTGCAAATTTGTGAACTACTTCAGTTACTGAAAGGAAAACTTTCTTCCGCTTTCAGGAATCTGGGTCAGAAATCAGGTGAGGTTACCTTTTGTGGTGCCTTGTACACCCCGGGTCAGTCTTTGGAATAAGTGACATACTGTTTAACAAGTCTGTACTAAGAACCAGCATCTCACACCAATTACTTGAGATTTTTTTCAGGTCAGAACTGAGAATTTTCTGATATTATGGAATCCATCATTTCACTTTTATCCCATATGTACTTCGTTTTTATGTTAAAACACATCTTTTTTTTTTTTTTCCATTTTAAGAAGTTTGGGGCAGTAGGGTAGGCAGTTGGTCTGCCATTTTCCCTTAGTCAAGGTGACTAATTTATAGTAATTGTTTTCATACTATCTTCTACTAGCACATTTTTAAATTAGCTTCCTCATAGCACTTGGTGAGGGCTCAGGAAAGTCAAACTAATTATAATATTAGCCTAAATCAGACTCAGGAAAGTGAATTAAAGCACACGGAAAGCAAATTAGATAATGTATTTCTGAAATAAACAGGAGCAACTTCTAGATCTGCCACTGCTTTGGGATTAACTGTTTTGGATTATCTCTTCCATGTGTTTCTTTTTGTTTACACAATAATAAAAATGATCTCTTTTAAAATAATTTTTTTTTAACTTGCTAGCAACATAGGATTTAAATAAAGATACACTCTTGAGTTTTACCTTTGATTAGTACCTGGACACAAATGAAGTGATTTCTCTCCTCACTCTCTTACACATTTTTATCTGCATTTCTATACAGCACTATTTCTTCAAACAGGTTGACACTTCCCCTCCCACCAAATGCTGATAATTATCCTTGCTGCTTAGCAATTATGTTCTTGAACAGAATTGCCAATAAGCACCTGATCAGAAATTTGTTACTGAATTATTGACACATTTATTCCTTCATCAGCATCCAGAGTCAAATGTTTGCTTTTGAAAAATTAAGTCAAGAGATAGAGAGAATATCTGAGTTGCTGGAGCCCCCTTGGTGTTTTCAGTGGCTGCATTATACGTTCTACAAGTTCGGTACATATAACGTTTACTTGACCTTGAATGGCTCAAGTAGTTTCTAGGTGAACTTGTCAATCATGGCATCTGGAGATGGCAATAGGTGACTCAGCAACCTAAGTCCTCCTCTCATTGCTGGTATAGAAAGGGATGTCTATTGATACACTTACTATATTACATAGCTTTAAGGGGCAAAGATTTTGTTTATAAATGTCTGGAGTATGTCATAATACACATTTGTTGCTTATGTGCCAATGCTGGGGGACACTAGTTAACCTGCAAAACTGAACAACCTATAGCCTATCTTCCTTACTTGGAATTCTCCTTTGGGAGGCTTATAAGGACTTGAGTAATGGTTAAAAAAACTTAGGATTAGACAGATCTGCCATCCCTCTTCGGTAAGTTTCTTAAGCTTCCTAATCCTCAACTTTCTTACTTGTGAAGTGGGGAGCTTAAAACCTGTTCTGCAGGATGGTTTTAATGTTTAAATGAGATGATGTATATAAAGTGCCTGGCTAACTTGGGACCTTCACATTGCACTGTGATTACTGCCACCACTGCTGCTACCAGTACTAGTGCCACTGCACTACCACTGCCAACATCATTGCCGCTTCCACTACCTCCAAAAATAATGCCACCGCTGCTACTATTAGGTAAAGTTTGAATGCTTAATATATGCCAGGAATTAATAAAATGTGTATTTGTTTTATTAATTTATTTAACATTCATTTGGGGAGATAAGACCAATGCATGATAGATACTGGTATGTAATTCAGTCCTAAGTTGTATCATATGAATGATGAGGACTATGAAACTTCACAGATTAGTTGTCACAGATACTTGAGCTTGTTACATAGGCTTATTGGGGAGGTGGCACTTGAGAAGGGCTTTGGGTAGGCAGTGAGAATTGAACTCAGAAAGGCTGTCAGGGCAGGGTGGATTGGAAGGTGAGGTTAGCAGTGAGTGAGTGTCTAGGTAAGAACTGAAGAGGGCTTCATGAAAGTCCTGGATGCTTTGGACCATCAGAGCCTGCTTGATTTGTAGAAGTAGTGTGAGGAGAAGAGTCTAAGATTCCAGGATTTTAAGCCTGGATGAAAGAAGATGTTTGTAGGGTAAAAGTTTGGGGAAGACAGAAGGTTTGAGGAAGGGGTGGGTGAAAATGCCCTGAATCTGCATATTGGTATCACGTAATTTAGAGCAAGAAAGAGACCTGACCCCATTAAATTGAATCTCATCACTTTATGGATGGGCAAAACAAGAAATTAAGCACTAAAATCAATTTAAGTCAGTGGTTCCCAAACTGTCTGCACTTTGGAATCATTGGGAAGCTTCTAAACATACTGATGACTGTGTTCTGCTTCTGGGTTTGTGGTTTGACTGACTTAGGGGGTAGCAAGATGTGTGGAATTTTTTGAAGATCACCAAGGTGATTCTAAGGGAAAATGAGTTGGAGATTTAAGTCCTACTTCAAGTCCTGGGGAAATGGTGAGGAGACAGATGCCACTTTTGTTCTTCTTTACGTCACATCCACTGCTGCAGATGTACCAGTCCCTTTTATTTTGTTCATTCAACGCACCAAGAGCTTCCTTGCTTCAGGACCTCTGCCCCTGTCATTCTTTTCACCTAAAGTGGCCTCACTTCTACTCTTTGAATATCAGCCTCCTTCACATCCCTAGAGTTTTGACTTGAAATACCATCCTTCAGAGAGGGCTTGCCCCTGCCATTTTCTCATGCTGTGTCCTCCCTCCCTTCTCTCTCTGTCTCTTTCTCTCTCTCTCTCTCTCTCTCTCTGTCTCTCCCCCCCCCCGTGTGTGTGTGTGTGTGTGTGTGTGTGTGTGTGTGTGTGTGTGTGTGTTGGGGGGGGCTGTCTCTTTCTCTCTTATTTCATAGTAATTGACACCATCTGAAATTATACATGTATTTGCTTGCTTTTTGTTTATCAGCATTCTTACATTGGTTATTGTTCACTAGACTACAAACTTCACAAAGGCAAGGACTATACCTCTTTTATTGACCAATGTATCCCCAAAGCCTATCCTGGTGCTCTGTGCCTCATAACTGCTAATAGTGAATGCATGAATAGATAATTGAATGAATCTAAGATCTTGGCAGAGCACATATGGCTGGAGAAATGTACAGTATTTGGAAAATATCATCATTCTTGGAGTTGGTAGAATTGTAGTGTCCTGGATGCTTAATGCTTACAGATACTTGAGACATTCTTTAATCTTAGCTGTACATATACGGATGATACATTAATGTCCAGAGAAAATACATGGCAAGTCCAGGGTCCCACTACTGATTAGAGCAGAGATAGAACTTGGACTATAGCACTTAATTCTGAGTCCTGAGTAAATTGTTTTACCCTACACTAGTGGACAGGCTCTCTGGAAGCCCTCATGGACAGAGAAGGGCAGGGCACCTCGGGCTGAGACCTAGGGAGTTTCACAGTTAGACAGGCAGAAGATGACCAGAGCTGGAAAGAGTGCAGGGAGGTCAGAGTTGAGGAAGAGGTCCAGCTCAGCAGTCACAGAAGCCATAAGTGTGGTTCCACACTGGGTCCTTTTCCTTTGTGATATATTTTACAGGGAGTATTTGGCTTTTGTTTCTAAACATTACATGATTTGAAAATGGGTTTTACTGTTAGAAAAATGTTGTTTCGCATCTTGCATGAAATTTCTGACTTCAAGATTTGGAGAGGCTGGAACGAATTATTGTGCTGTGTAATTGCCTCTTAGAAGATTTTATAAGAGCACGTGTATTTCTGGGATGCTTAGGCATTGATGTGCTTAGAGACAGAACTGGCCTGATGGCTCTGCGAGTTCTTTCCAATAGGAAGGTATGAAACTGGAACATGAGAGCTGTTGGCATTTATGTAACAGCAGCGTACTGTGATTTTATGCTACGTGTAAACATATAAAAATTTCAGGAAACACCACATGCCAAATTTGTTTTGTTCATGCTCAACACAGATAAAAGTGTAGAAAAGAAAAAAAATATTTTCACTTAAAGATTGGTAAAAATAGTATTCTTCTGTATATTATCAGCAGATGATATACTCAGAACAACCTTCTGAGTGGATAAAACTAGACTGTGTTGCTCTGTATCTATTCAGCTAATGTTTCTAACACTATTTGTCAAATTGTTCTGTGTATACAAGATACCTGCACTGGTTTTAACCCTTTAGGGCCTATATCCTATTACATGATGGCTTTGCAAACATTAATTTGTTATGTAATACTTAGGAATACCAAAATGTCTACCAAATATTCCTGA